GAGATGGCTTGGGCGAGGATCTTGACCATGCCCATGACCACGAGCGCAACTTGGCGAGTATCTGTGCGATGCTGGACGCCAGTGGTCTCTCGCCATGGGTCCGAGAGAAGAGCAAGGACGTGTTTGCGTGCTTGGCGCGCGCCGAAGCCCGCGCCCACGGTGCCAGCGTCGACCAAGTACGTTCCATCTACTTGGTCTTTTTCTACAACGTGCGCAGGTGCATTTCCATGAAGTCGGTGCGATCGACAGCATCATCGACACGGTCGGGTCTGTCCTCGCCCTCGAGCTCTTGCATGTCGACGAGGTGCACTGCTCGCCGCTGCCGTACTCGAACGGCTTTGTCAAGTGCATGCACGGTCTCATGCATGTGCCCGTGCCAGCGACGCTTGACCTCATGCAAGGCGTCCCCGTCATTCCGGCGCCCAAAGGGCAATGTCATCGCTTCCTCTAGTATTTTGACATTTTCCGTGCTATTCTAGAGCAACGGGCGAGCTTGTGACGCCGACGGGCATGAGTCTCATGAAGGCACTCGCCACATCGTTTGGCCCACCACCGGCGTTCATCCCACACACGCACGGTAGGGCGGTAGCACCATGGTAGCCAAATCAACGTTCGCAGGGAGTGGCGCCGGCACCAAGGACTTTCCCGGGCACGCCAACATTGTGCGCGTCGTCATCGGTGACGCGACGCATCCCATGACTCATCGTCCGACGCCAAGCCCAAGCAACGACGAGAGCATCGTCGTCCTCGAGACGAACCTCGATGACATGAACCCGCAGGTAATAAGACCGCAGTAGCGTCCGTCAAGCCTGGAGCGAGACGGTTCTAGCCCGAAATTGATGCGTAGATTTTAAGCCACGTCCAAGAGCTCCTCTTTGACCAAGGGGCGCTGGATGTGTGGTGGCAGCCCATTCAGGTTCTCCTCCTATCCCTTGCGTACATCACAAAGTTGATGATGCTGCATGCCAGATGAAGAAGAACCGGCCGGGCATCCTCCTCTCGTACTTTTGCAAGGCTCATGCTCAACGCCTCATCGAAATGAGATAGCGTGCTGTGTCTTCCCGACGGCGTTAACACTCTCTCCACCACGCTTTTTTGCGAGACCACAACCCTCGGCATCCGCCGGTACGGTCGCGCAACGTCACGTAGCCTTTGAATGGCATTAGGCGCACGATGGAACGCGCTGTGCTCCAGCGCTCGTCCATGACCGTCACCTCGTTGTACGGCCCTGCCTCGGTCAAGGTAGGATCGACGACTGCAACCAGCACGGCCGACACGGACCGCGTAGGTGGGGTATCTCAACGGCGCACCTGTGAACGTCCAGCCAGAGTTTGACGACTGCCAGGTAGACGCGATAGCGTGCGTACGTGCCTAAATCAACCGCGGTGGTGCGTAGAAGCTCGCGCTCGCTGCCAATGTCCCGATCAAGACGGTGCTCGCCGAGGTGCAAGCGCTCGCACGCGCCAGCTTGAAGAAGGAAGCGCCCGTGGCCTAGTCACGACATCTTCCTAGCTAGTACATGTTTCTGCCGCTGTTGATAACATGCTTCCTGAAGCAAAGACCACTTCGTTCCGTGTGCATCCAGCCAAGTACATGACCGCGTTCTGGTGGCGCCAAATTTGAAGTCCTATTATCCGTACGTCCGGATAAAATGTAGCAATCTGCTGGAAGGTCGAATTTGAGCGATGGCACAGGTTGGCGTCTTGGTGTGCTTGGACGTGCCGGTCGGCAGCGAGTTTGGCGTCGACTACGAGGCCTTTCGCACAGCAGAGCGCTTCCAAGGTGTCAAGCTCCTTCCTGCGGGGCTGCACTTTGTATTTTACGCCTCCAGTGGCGACCAAGACGGGATCCGCCAAGGATTTTTCATGCACGTGAACGCCGGCGACGTCCAGCTGCGCAAGTGGTCGCACGAGACCGAAGAGCTCTTGCCGCTCACGGATGCGCGCGACGCAGAGAACCTCACACGTGCGTGCGATGCGAGATCGATTAGCTAATTCAGGCCATGCGCACAGGCGCGGTTCGCGGCTTCCAGCTCGATGGCAACCTCGGCGCGTACCCGCAAAAGCACGCCAAGACATGGCGCCGCCTCTCCAAGTACATCTCGGCCAACGTGCTGCGCGTACGCTTCCTCATCGATTCCAGGTGGTGGTTAACGAGGTTGCCCATTAGCGCTGTGGCATCACGCTGGGCGCGACCATCATGCCGGGCGACCCGGACGTCATGTCGACCAACGAACCGTCGACACTGACGCCGTACTTTCCCAATACGGCGCAAACCGCGCGATTCACGCCACTGAGAAAGCCAGCACTGTCTCGATCTGCCGCCGAAGTCACCATGTTCCATGTCGACTCGAGGTACGAGCTCTCTTCTTTTGTATGACGGGATGGCCCATGCGACGACTGGTAGTGAGCACCTCGAGCAATTACTGGCCGAGCACTTCAACAACGACTGGGTACATTCCCATATATCGTCTTCTTCTCTTATTGTCTTATTGTCCATCCTAATACACCGTATCGTGTCGCTGCGTAGAAAGAACTCGTCGGCGAGCTCCAGCTGTCGTTCGTGCTCTTCCTCCTCATTTCGTCGCTGGACGCACTCACGCAGTGGAAGCAGGTACCTCGTAATCCTCTTTGAATCCATCCATAAACCTAGCCCTTGTCTTAGATGGTCTGGCTGCTGTGCTCGAGCGAAGCCGCGGTCGAGACGATGCCGGACCTCTTCATCGCGTTCCTCAAGCTCATGCACACACACCTCGAGCAGGTATAATAGTCGTTGCTAGGCGGTGCCATCCCGTCGCCAACGATCCTCGTAGGTGGGCGCCGAGTTTTTCCAAGACGAAGTCGCGCAAGAGAACTTTCTACAAGCGTCGCTCGCATCCCTCTTCGAGATCCTTCACGACGACACGCTCCACCCCAAGGTACTCGCCTCCGCAGCGGACGACGTCGACCGATCGCTTGTTGTAGCTGCTGGCCGCGTCCCAGAAGCTCCAGGTCTTTCTGCAGCAAAAGTTCAACCTGCGCTTTGACGTGCTCGGGACCTTTGCATTTGGCGACGACGAGTGCGCCCCGACCTTTGTGTTGCCGGACGAGGTACGCTTGATGCCCATGGCATGTCCATCCGATCCTTTGGTGTAGCTTCCTGCGTACGTCTTTACCGCCGATGTGCTCGACGACGACGCCAACGCGCGTGCCGCTGCCGCGCTCTTCCACGGAGCCTCTCGCTCCTAGAACGCATGGATAGGTTGTCTCTATCTGTATGGGATGGCGTTAGATATGCTCTAAGACGCCGCGTCTAAATGTACGGGACGGAGCCAATGACACCGAACTCGACAATCTTCCACCGCAGCGCCATCTCGTCTTCGTCGTACTCGCGTCGGAAGGCAAACACGTAAAAGTTGGCCTTGATCTCGTCTTCGGCGCCTTCGATGATCTCGCCTTCGCGGTTCCGAATGCAGTGGATCTGCTGCGCCATGAGCTGCAGACCAATGACCGGCGCCTGCTTGTCCTCGGCCTACGAACACCACTAAGTTCTCGTTGCTGTTGTCGCGTCTCGCGCACCGAGAGCGCGATCACCGTGACGTCACGAATCGCGAGCACGTTCGGGTCGACGACCAAGCCTATCGCATTGCTTCAGAAAACGACTTCGAGGCGAGGATCCAAGTACCGTCCGTCTTGCGCTCGCGGATCGCCATGTTGACGGTGCTGTACGCAGCTTCGCCCATCCACTTTTTCAGGTCGCGGCTGTTGCCCTTGAGGAACGCATCGAGCACGAACGGCACCACCGACTCGGCCACGTTCTAGAACGAGCATGGCGTGAGTCATCTTGACGCGCCAAGAGGCAAGGTGTGCGTACGTCCTTCCATTCCTCGACGTTGAACGACGGGTCGGCGCGGCGGATCTCGCGGATCGCAATACTTTCGGCTGTCTCGCCAAAGAGGCCGTCGTAGATCGACGAGAGCCGGTAGACCCACCTAATGCAGACAATGAATTGCGTGTCATGCCGGAGGATGGCATGAGGATGCAGAGACGTACGGGTTCTGACTCGTCTCCCAGTACTCACGCACGTCTTCGGTGGCGTCACCAATCTTGTCCTTGGCGACCTTGGCCCCCGACCCGACGGTTTGGCCGGCCTTGGTCTTGGCCGCGAGCCGCGCCGCCTCGAGAAGGCCCTGGATGATCGGCGTTTCCTTGAGGCGCGCGCCGATGCGGTCCCACGCGGTCTGCTCGCCCTTGACGAGCACCATGGCCGTCGGCCCCGTGTACGGCGCGGCCTCTTCCTCGTCGTCGTCGGTCACGGGCTTGGCGACCTTCTTCTCCGAGAGCGATGACGTGAGCGTCTCTTCGACCGACTTCTTTTGCCGGCGCCAAAGACCTCGAAGAAGGTTTCGACGAGCGTCTCCTTGGCGCCCGACGTGTCGCCGAGGACCTTGGACGTCGCCGAGTTGAGCGGGTCGAAAACTTGGACTTGGCCTCCTTGACGTACTCGCTCTTGCCGGCCTCGGCGGCCGCCTGATCGCGCACCTCGCGCATCGCGGCTTCAAAGGCCTCGCGCTTCTCCTTGGCGCGCTTCTCAAACTCGTCGCGGGCTTCCTTGGACTTGTCCGCCGTCTCCTTGACGACCTCCTGCACCGCTTCGTTCTTCTCGAGCTTGGCGAGCTCTTCCTTGACCTGCTCCGTGAACTTGGAGAAGAAGCTCATGGAGCGGGCCGGCGCCATGCGGCGAGCGGCCGCGGTCTTGAGCAGCGCGTGGCGAAGCATCGAGAAGTTGGCGACCACGAAAAATGAAATTGCAGTTTGCTCGACGGACAGCCTGGCCGCATTTTAGCCAATCACCGTGCGCGGCGCCTTGAGGCTAATCGCACGCAACATTGCCACCCAAGGATGGGCATCCCTCAAATGCTACATTTATGCTGCATAAATGCATAATCGCAACTGCAGTAGAACCGACGATCGTGCCATCGTGAGATGCTATAAGGAGGCAGCACCAGGTCTCGATACCCCAGCTTCCGGCTTGTATGGAAGCAGGATGCTACGGTACAACGTGCCTCAACGGTGGCGTCGGCGACCAGCGAGCTCGATCGACGTGTTGTTGCACGCATCATTCACCTTCTTGAAGATGCTGAGACAGCTCTCCATCGAATCTCTAGGACCTTCTTGGGCTTTGATATCTAGAGCTGGCTTGAAGGTCTGAGACCTCGGGTGGCCGTTGATGGTCGTCGAGGGGTACAGCTCGCATCACCTCGTGTCATGGCGCCACCAGCGGCATAGCAGTACCGGTAGTTGAAGCGCGCAGGCTCGTCTTGCACGCAGTGTCATAGTATTGTGGACACTCTGTCTCTCTTCTTTCGTGTCAGAAGTTGGCCTGTCTACTCGCCCGTTTCGCGGAGGAAACTGTTTGTGGCGCGGTGATGCCAATCGACATCTCGCTCGATGCGACGCTGCTCAAGCAACTCGGTCGGCGCGTCGAGTCGCTTCCAAACGTCGACAACTCGGGCGACACGGCGGTCGAAGTCTTTGCCGATCTCGCGGTGATTGGCGCCGTCCTGCCGTCGTCGGCCAAGTTTGAGCATGAGCTCGACACGGAGATTCCGGTTCCGTTCCATCTGCAGGGCACGACCGACTTTGACGACGGCATTGGCTTGTCCAAGCGCCGCCAGCTGCGCCGAGCACCGCGCGTCGTGCAAGGCATCATGCGCTTTTGGCAGGTGTTTCCGAAGCTTCACGTCATTGGCGACGAAGTCGTGACCAAGACCGAGTACGCGGAAGTGATGCTGCTCGTCTTCAAGGTGCTTCGGCCAAGTGACTTTGACATCTACGAAGCCCTCGACCAAATCGGCAAGGACTGGACGAGCGACTCGAAGGGAAAAAATACCATGGACGCCATCATGTTTATCGATGCGTTCTTCGAGTTGGTACTACCTGCAACGTGTCGTTTTCGAGTCATCTTGTCTGTGTGTAGGTGGACCTCTGGACGTGCGACGTGGAAGAAGCCACGTATGTGCAATTTCTCCAGTTGCTCTACGAGCGCATCACGGTACCACTGCCGTGCGATCGATGGATCGATTGATATGTTGATAGATTCGCACGGTTGTCTTCTTTGACGGCAGCGTCTTGCGCGTGGCGGTCGCTGATACATCCAAGACCGCCGCGCAGCTCATTGCGAGCGGCGTGCCATTGGCCGCCGTGAGTGCGTTCAACCACATTGCAAAGTTTGTCAAGCCCAAAATCCAAACGATCGGTGACCTCGCGGACGCCGATGTCGTCGATGTCGAGAAGCTTCGGCAGCAGTACATTGAACACAACAACCTCTCAACGCAGCGACTCGGCGCCGAGCTCTTTGAAGTACGCTACGCTACGTAGAAGGGTCTTTTATCCGTGTCTAGATTCTGGAGCTCATCACGCGCGTGACAGCGGGCGCCGTCAACAGCCTCGACTCGCTGCAAGGCTTGGTGGATGCAGACGCACAAGCCATCGACTGCATTCGCGCTGTTTTCATTCGCGCCCAAGGCATCTCAAGAACGCAGCAGACCCTCAAGCACAACATCATTGCCGAGCTTCATAAATTTGGGGTCACCGACACCATGCTCTCAGACAGCAGCATGACCGAAAAGTACCTCCAACTCTTTGACCTTTTTTGCGTCAAAACGGGGGTACACCAATATTGTCTATACGGCGTGAATGTAATGGACACGATGACGAGATGGATGATATGCGTAGGTGGAAATTCAAGAGACGGCGCGCTTGGAGCTTGAGCGCATTCGGCGCGAACTCGACAAGCACGGCCTCGACGACGTCCCGCCGCATCAAGTGGAAGCCACTTACCACGAGGTAGACACAAGTCTTGCATCGACGACGACCTAAACGGCTCGCGCTAGTATTACGCCGACGTAATCGAAACGAGTGGCCCCAAGACGGTTGAGAAGGCAAAGGCCTGGATTCAAAACAGCACGGAGGAGACAATCGCGCCGTTCATTCAGAAAGACGAGCCGTCGTTTTCGCCCATTGCGGATGCCAAGCCGTTCACTGCAGACGACACGGCGTTCCAAGTACTCGTGACGCCGTTGGAGGAGCCACCCCCGAAGCCACGAGACCCGACACCCCCCGCGACGCCACCACGGCCTACGACCCCGCCACAGCAACGTGCCGCGTCGCCCAAGCCCATCACACCACCCCGGGCGTCACCACCCCGCCGAACGGCCACCCCTCCCGTCGTGGACCAACCGAGACCCCCTACCCCCGAATCGGCAAGCATCGAGCCGCCAAGCTTTGAGCTCGAGATTGAGACACCCCGACCCGTATCGCCCGAGCCCGAGCCTGTTCGAGAGCCGACGCCAGTACTATGTATCGCACCCGAAGTGATTGTACAAGACGTTTGCGCCGTCCAAGAGCTTGTACAAGACCCGCCATGTCTTGACGAAGTGTCGGCTGTCGTCGCGGACGCCTTCGTGGAGGAGACGGTCGTGGAGGTCTCGGAAGCGCCGCCGGGCGAAGAGTACCGACGAACCGGTATCGCCATCGTCCGCGAGGAGCGCAAGGTGCTGAGAACCAGCGCGCAAGCGACCAAGAAGAAGAGCTCGTACGTAGCGCACTTCGCATGCAGTACGCTCCAAGCGTGACGTAGGACGGCCGAGCCGCCCCGTGTGGCCGAAGTTCTCGTCACAGGCAGCGCGACCGATAGCGTCGGCCGGTACATTCATTTGCTCGGCCTCACGGACGGTGCGTCCTCATTCGATGATCGCATGTCATTTTCCACGCTCACTTCGTATTGACATCAGTGGTGCAAGCGCCTGGCGACGCCGAGGCCATCGCTCTCCTCGCGCCCAATTCCTCGAAAAAGATCGATCTCGTGCGTCGACACTATCAATGTATCGACTTGATACTTTTTACGTAGGTGTGCTACGTCGCGGGTCGCAACATGGACGATGCGCTGGCCAAGCTCGCGCTCTTTCGTACTGTCTACCGCCGACCAGTCATCATTGTCGGCGGCGACGAAGCCGATCCGGCGCTCACGCAGCGCATGTCGGACGCAGTACGCTGTCATCACGCATGCGCGTCCATCTCATGGCAGTGTATTAGTGCATGGCCCAAGGCGCTTTGTACTTTGCCGCACTGCCCGTGGACTTTCGGGAGCTCCGGAGTCAGCTCCAGAGCTTCCTCGATGCCGCACCGCACAAGTACCTCGTCAAGCAGCGAAAACAGTCGGTCACCGCCAACGCCAACGCGACCAACGCGACGACGCGACTGAAGCCGGTTAAGGGCAACCACAAACTGCAGCCAATCACCGAGAGCTCGTCGTCGCCAAAGAAGCGGTAGTCCGCAGAACCAACACTTACATATTTCCTCAGACGATATGTAGAACATGGCTCGCAGAAGAGCCGGTACCAAGCACGACGCACCTCCCGGCGCTGCCAGTGCGCGCCAAGGCGCCAGAGCTACGCAACGCCGACAAGCCCCTCGCTGCACTCGTACCCCACAAGCCCGTGGCGCTCATCGGAGGCGCTCCGTCGCCGCGGTCACCCCGGCGCGCCGCAGAGTCCTCACCGCGTCGCAACTCAGACCAACCGTCGCTGTCAATTTAAGAAAGCTCGAGCCCTTTCCAACCCTCTACTTGTCGTATCTTGAGGTGTCGATTGCGTGGCGATATCGTGTCTGCTGCAAATGCTAGCCAGTGGCCTTGTCAGGCCCGACGTCAATGCCGTAGTAGCGCTGGTAGAGCCCCATCGCGGTGTCAATCAATCGCAGGCGCAGCTTCAAGTTGGCGTACTCGACCTGAAACCTACGCCATCGCGGCTTTTAAAACTGCGTGTTTCTACTCGGACGCACCAGAACGTCTCGCGCCACGTCATGGGTGCCACCGCGTCGCGCTGGGCGTGGTCTTGGACGAGGCCTTTCATAGCGTACTTGCCAAAGACGTGAAAGCGTTGGCTACACGCACGCCACTCATTGCTTCGCCCTTTCAATACCATTCGTGCGTACCGCGACGAGCCGCCGAGCTCCTTGTTGAGCGAGCGCGTCAAGTTGGTCGAGCGCAACACAAAGAGCATGTCCCGTGGCAGCGTCTCTAGAAACGCCGTGACCTACGTACACGGCATCTCTCCATGTCGCAAGTATCCTATATGGTCATACGTCGCCGCGCTCAAGCGCTTTAAGATCTTGGATGATCGCGGCGCGGTCGGCGGCCGAGATTTGACCCGCGAGTTTGTTGTTGCTGTGCATGCCGCGGTAGGTAAAGATGAGCGGGAGCAGCTTGGCGTATTGCTTGATGCCGAATTTGTCGCTGCACGCGTCGACGAGCGCCGCGTCACGCAGCAACAGCCCTTTCCACAGTTCGCAAAAGGTAATGCGGAAGGTTTCGTCCAGCTGCCGGTAGAGGCCATGGTCGAGAAGGATGATTTGCGCCTACGACGCTGCGTCAGGATATCTTCTAGAATGATCAAGACCTCGTTGGGCAGGCTCGGGTGGCGGCGCACGAAGAGGTTGCCCGGGTGCGGGTCGCAGTGCACAAACCCCGAGCAAAAGAGCATCTCGGCAAAAAGCGACGAGACGTGCTTGGCGACGACGAGCGGACGGAGGTGCATGCGTTCGATCGCGTCCGTGTCGGTGACTTTGGCCCCGCGCATAAACTCCATCGTCAAGACGCGTGTCGTGCTGTACGCGTCCAGCACCTATCAATATATCAAGTTGGACGATCAACTCGATACAAAGAGAAAGGTAGACCTTGGGAATGTACACGAACGGGTTGTTCTGGAACAAATGCGCAATTTTGCGACTATTTTGCTTCTCCGCGTCAAAGTTCAACTAGACCACTTGTCAACCAACCTCCAAGTTGAAGAGATGTAGGTGTGTACCTCGGCGTGGAGTGCGGTTTCCATCTCGGGCACGAGCCACGACATGTCAATGTCCCACGTATAGTTCATGGCCCGAATGGCTTGTGCGACGCTCCAGAGGTCCGAGCCCATCTGCAACGCGAGTGCCGGGTACTGCACCTTGACCGCGACCTCGACACCGTCCTTGGTCACCGCGCGGTGCACTTGCGCAAGCGACGCAGCGGCAATCGGTGTGTCGTCAAATTCGCTGAACAGCTCGTCGATTGGAGCGCCGAGTTCGGCGACGATGGCCGCTTTCGCTTCCTACACATGAATCTCGCACCGTTGGCATCGCCTACAGTCGGTCGCACCTCGCCGGATACGGGGCGCGCTTGGTCCTGGAGCTGGCTCAGCGTCGACGTGTACTCGGCCGGGAGGCCATGGTTCATGGATGCAATCTGCTGGCCCATCTTGGTAAAGACGCCGCCGTTCTGCAAGCACAAATGCAGCAGTCGCTGCGCCGTGCGCAAATTGAACGCTTGCAGCGCGCTCTTGTATGCGACCATGGCCGGGTCTTTGGCGTCGTTCAGCGATGGCGGACCAACGTCAGCGTCGGTGGTTGTCGTAGCAGGCTTTTTGGGCACATGGAGCTTAAAGTCGACGAACGTGGACGCGCCGGCGTAGGCGACGCGGCCAGCGCGTGACGGTACATGGCTACGGCCTTGTTAGCTCCATACGCAGTAGCCGCGAGGTGTCGTACCCGGATGCGTAGTCAGTGCTGATGAGGACGAGCCCGAGCGCGCCAAGTCGCCGGGCGGTGGGTTGCATCTTTTCGAATTGGAATGAACGCAGCGGACTTCCATACAAGACCCAAATCAACCTGCAATCTGCGTTGGCCAATCAAACGCGAGACACAAACTTCGAACAGCCAATGGCATCGATGCGTTGCGATCAACTTGTGGGCGAGCTTCGAGCGAAGGGCGACGTCGAACGCAGTCCGACGGTACGCGCCGGTCGATGCGAGGTCGACGTTATCCAATGGCGCCGTATCCTATCCCATCATCGACTATCCTAGCTGCATCGCGACGAAGAGAGAAAGTGTTGACGACTCTCATCATTAATCGAACGCACTTGTACGCAGTAGCAGTAATACATGCAGAAGGAATGGCGACTACGGCATGGGAAGCGCCGCTGCCGACGGCGCGCGGTCCATAAAGACACCCTTCGCACTTACTTTACTGAGGCAGCAGTAGTACTTGGGCAAATTCGCCTCGAGATCCGTGGGGGTCGGCTGCTGCATCCATACAGGGATGTCAAACGTCTGAGCTTGCTGGCGCCCGAGGAGGTTGACGCCAAAGTAGCCGCCTTGCAGCATGACGCGGTGGGGTAGCGTAAACACTTGGCTCTACGCATCGTCGTCTGTCAAGCTACGTGTCGTCTGCGAGGCGTTCTACCGTCATTTCGTTGCGCACGTCGTAGGCGGGTGTTGTGTAAAAGGGTTCGCTGTCGAGCAGGTCGGCGAAGAACGAGAAGGACACTTGGCGTGGCCCGTACGTTGGCGCCCCCGGGTGCCAAAACACGCGGTAGGGCACGACCTCGACCGATTGCACGACGCATGGTCCCCGCATGCGGTAGTAGATCGAGTCGGTCGCGTGCGGATCGGTCGACGCCGCACTACGCATGTCCATCGTCGTCGGTACCCTGACCGTGGTGTCGCTACCTGCTCCAGTAGCACGAGTTGCCCGACGAGCAGCCGCATAGCATCTGGATTGTCTCGCCGAGCGACGAGTTGCGCCGCGTGAGGAGGCGAAACATGGTAAACGTGGGCAGCTCTTGCAAGTTGTACGGCAGCAAAAGCTCTTCCGATCGCTCGTAGCGCTGGATCTCGCGCAAGCACTTGGAAAGCTTGAGCGTGTTGGCAGGCGCTTCGCTGTCCCTGTCGGCCGACGAGTACTCTACGCAAGAATACGCCACGTGATAAGGGCGCATGAGCAGCAAGAAGTGGCGTACTAATGACATCGAGAATGAGCTCGGTTTGGCCGAATTTGTCGGTCGTCGCCAGCGACCCTAGGCATGCGAGTCGCTTCCACGGGTACTGCCGGCGGTTGAGGTGCGACGGGCTCGGGCCATGGAGACCCGCGACGTATTGGAACCACTTGGCCTTGTCGAATGCGACGCTCTTCACGGCGTCGGCCTTCCAGCAGTTGAAGCCTTCGACTTGCGCCCGGAATTTGGAATGCGTCGCCTCGAGCCGGTGGGCCTCGACGTGGTTCAAGTACAGAAGGACCTTGGCGAGGAGCTCGATGGGCAGCTCGACGAGCGCGCTCTCCCTGGCCGGCGGCGGCGACGACGAGGACGGGCGCCAGAAGAACATGGGCTGGTCGACTACGCTCGAGGAATGAGCTCGACCTTGGCTTCTTTGATCCGACAATCGAACAAATTCGAGCGATCATCTTCAAGCAGCGTAACCGGATCCTTCGAAAGTCTGGCTAATCGCACGCCATTCCTTTCGGTAGCGCAGCAACCCTTGCCGTGCGCCGTCGCTTGCGGTCCCTCGCCGACCACCTTGCCGTTCACGTCGCTGCGCGCAAGCCACATCTCGTGCTACAAAGGATCGAACTTCCGTGTGGCCCCTGCACAGGCAAGCCCGCCGCCGCCAAGTTGCGTGGAATTAAACAATCGGTACAGCTGATTCATGCGGCTTTTCTCTCGAGACGTGCGACGAAACGTGGCGGCCGCAGCTGCGAGATGCTAAAGCCCTCGCCCTGCGTATTAGCATTGACCGTCGAGGAGGGTGAGGACGGAAGCGCCGGTATCCTTCGAGCACGCCCTTTCGCCACGTCCGCCGACGACCGTTGAGCGGACCAATCAGCGAGCGCCTGGCTAAAACCCAGTCGCGCAAGTGCAAAATGGCAGCAGGGCGCACAGCGGTGCTCGTCCTCGTCTCGCTGAGTCTCGCGACGACGGACGCCTTCTCGACGTACCGGCTGCGCATCCCGAACGGCCTCAGCGTCGAAGGCTTTGCGGCTGTCGGGCACGTCAACAAGGTCGGCGGCGGCCAGCCGACGCAGTTTGGCATCGACTTCGAGCGGGCCGGCGGGCGCTGGAACGCTGCGCTGTGCGCTCTCGACTCGGACGGCGACGGCGCCACGAACGGCGAAGAGCTCGGGGACCCGTGTTGCGAGTGGCGCGTCGGCCTCCCCGTGCGACCCAACCCGAGATCGCCAGGACATCCCGATGCGTTTACGGCTTCGGAGCTTGCGGCGATGAAGTGCACGCCGTCCACGGCCAAGACGCCGCTGCCCAATGCGCCTGCATCCACCGACGGGTCGGACGCCAAAGATCTCTAGTCCTGCGCTAGTATGATCGTCGGTGCCATACGCCCTGTCCATCATGTTGTCCTCGTCGACTTGTAAGATTCTTGATTGCCGTGTCTTTGGGTGTGTCGCGCTACTACTACTACACGCGTCGCCTCTCTCTGCGGCCGTCGTTAGAGACGCTGCCCATCGCCCCCGCCGTGCGACAAGCCGGGGACCACGGTTCGCCAACGCCGACCTGCGCGCCATGCGCCCTTGGAGGAGGACGCCAGCCAGCACATTGCATTCGCCTGGCGTTCATGATTCCAGGAGCAGTAGGCTTCAAGCGGGCCCTCGCGCCGGCTAGATTCGGCGAGCGGAACCAGCGTACGTGTGGTACGAGCGGGAGGCGACCGAGAAACGCGCGCAGTGGCTTCAATGCCAAGGGTAGCACACGCGCCGAGGGCCATGGCGGCGCGCCGGACCGGCGGTCCCGCTGCTGAGCGTCGTGGCCCTTGCCTCGGCGTCAATGGTCGCGCTCGCTGTGGCCCGTCAAAGTACATACTTGGTGAGGCAACATCAAAAGCCGCAGGTCTCGAAAACACTTGGTTTTTGTATGGTTTCAGCTGCAACCACAAAAAGAACCACAACAAAAAATCTAGCAAGACCCCCCGACGGAGAGACTAAGACGACCGAGAAGCGACGCGATGGAGCTGACGCAGGACACGGACAAGGGCCACGAAGCGTCCATGAACTTGCGCCCGAAGACGATGTTTGCGATGAAGGGCCGCGCGCGGCCGAGCGAGACGGCCGCCGAGAGCTTCCTCCCAACATGGAACAAGGACAACGAGAAGAGGGCGAATGGCGACGACCGCCGCAAGGCCAGAGGTAGACAAGCACCCAGCCGGACGAGCACCGACAACAGCACTATCAGCAGCAACGATTCCGTGCTGCGGTACACGCGCGAAGAGCTCCTTGCACTGCACGTCGTGAGCACGACGCCGCCCGACCTTCCGGAGGGCACGCCCGTCATTTCGCCGGACGCCCTTCCGCCCGTCGGCAACCTCCCGTTCGACTATGAAGAAATCTACAAGCAGTGGGCGCTCAACCGGAACCGGGGCCGCGGCCGCGGCCGAGCGACCGGCGACAACAATGGCAACAACAACAACAACAACAACAACACGCGGGGCACGACCGGCAACAGCGCCTCGACGCGTGGACGCGCGGGCTCGATGGAAGACGGCGCGGAGAAGGGTCCTCGCCGGGGATCGGACGACATGACGGACCGCGATGGAGGCCGACGATGGGGCGAAAAGGTACATGCCGCCTCTGGCCGCTTCCCTCAAGCAAACGTGTAGAAGGGCGACGACCATTGGGAGCGCGGCGCCAAGATTGAAAAGGAGAACGACTTGTGGGACGATGTGGACACGGGCGGCGACACGCTGGACATGGTACCTCGAACAAAGCTGCTCCGGCAACGGCGCACAAGAAGAGCTCATACGCACTGCGCGTAGGGACTCTCGGACTTTGCGCATGCGGCTGAGCAATTCCGTGCCGAGATGGACGAGATGCATCGGCAGAACGGCACGACGCGCCCGGAAGTACGCAAGCTGCATCCGGCTCCGTCCTCTCACGGTTGTTGCACTGTTTAGTTCAAGGCCCAGGTGTCGCTCGAAAGCGAAGGGCAGTTTGAAGACAGCGTCGAGGAGGAAGAGGAGCCGCCGATGTGGGACATGCCTGCCAAGGCGGACGAGACAATCGACGAGATCCCGTCGCTGACGTCGGCGAATCCGCTGGCGGACCTCGCAGGCATGTCGTGGAGCATGCCTTCGGCGCCCGCGCTCCGCGTCTCGCCGCCCGTCGATGCGTGGTTCTACTTGGACCCGCAGGGATTGCAGCAAGGCCCGTTCAAGTCGGCCGAGATGCGCGAGTGGTTCGAAGCCGGGTACTTTAAGCCGCATTTGCCGATCCGGTTTGGCCACGAAGGCGACTTCGCGTCGTTGGCCAACCATTTCCGCCACGGCCAGATCCCGTTTGCGTCGCTTCCAAGCCCGAACCCGCAAGCCCAAGCCCAAGCCCAAGCCCAGGCTCAAGCCCAGGCCCAGGCCCAGGCCCTCGCGGCCGCAAAGGCACAGGAACAAGCCCGGCAGCAAGCGCTCTTGCAGCAAAAGCAGCTTGAGCAGCAGCAGTACTTGCTCCAGCAACAGCGCCTTTTGGAGCAGCGTCGCCAGGCCGAGGAGCGCATGCGGCTTGAAATGCAGCGCATGGAGCTGAGCCAAGCGCACCACCTCCAGCAGCAGCACCACCTCCAGCAAGAGCACGCACGCTTGGCGATGCTGCAGCAGCAGCAACAGCAGCAATTGCACCACCAGCAACTGCTTTTTCGTCAGCACCAACAACTTCTTTCCATCAACAATCAACAACAGCAGCAGCAGC